ATATATTACTGCTCATATATATATGCACTCCTGCTTGTGAACTGGCCTTGTGGCCTTAAACTTGTGCTCGGATTGTGTGGTGACGTTGTGATCCACCCTGAGCTTGCTGTGCTTTGCTTTACTTGACTGGTCTTGTGACCCCTAGTTCTCCCCCACTTCGCCTATGGGGGTGAGTCAAACATTACATATGTTGTTGTAGTTCCTTAGGCTAAAGTGGGTTAGCCTATAGGGGGTACACATTTCTAGGGTTTCATACTTGTACTCATTTCACTGTTAGTTCATTCATTCTTGTTCAACACTTACTGTTTGCAATCGTCGTTCCCATGTGCGATATCGCCGCAATCTCTTTCGATTGTGCGGTTGAAGCTTACTTCAGCGAGCCGAGACGACAAGAAATTGGATTGGGTGGCTCCTGATCAAGAACCGTCGTATGGTAATCCACGCAGCCAATGACAGCATTGCATGTTCCTGTGGTCTTCCGCGGATATCACAGCTGTCACGTAAGAACCCGACAAGGTGACCATAAAGGGATTGCGTCGCTAGTGCATGTCGTGTCGTCCCGCAGCGGCGACTCTTCTTACAAAGCAGGCAGTGCGGAAGGCCGCGCGCCACCCGTCCGCGCATTCCTCCCGTCGGTAGTCAGGTTGATCTTGACTTGCAACTCGCGTCGTTTAAACTCGCGTACGACAACACATCATGTTTTGTCTCACGACAAGCGGTTGTGCGGCGCATCGTGTGCGGTTGTCACCACAAACAGAAACAGATAGCCTGTAACGCATGGACTACTCTACCTAACTACCGCAGGTTTCCTAAAAAAACTTGAGGAACGATATTCAGGAAGAAGTGCATGCCACTAAGTACGGAGGGCACCTAGGGGTCAAAAAGACCAGGTGGGCCTTGAGTGATGTGTACTGGTGGCCGGGATTGGGTACTGAGGTCCAGCAATTCGTGGCACGCTGCGACGCATGCGCACGAAATAAAACGGACACAAAGAAGCCTGGTGGTTTGCTTCAACCACTCGAGATCCCGACTGATCCTTGGGAGAGTGTATCCTTGGCCTTTATCACGGATCTTCCCAAGACTCGCGATGGCCATACATCGATCCTAGTGTTTGTGGATCGTCTGACAAAGATGGTGCATTTCGTGGCTACGACAACGGACGTATCCGCGGAAGATACGGCCAAACTGTTTGTGGCGCACCTTTTTCGCTTACATGGGTTACCTCGTTTGTTGGTGTACGACCGGGATCCGCGCTTCACAAGCCGGTTCTGGCAAGAAGTCACACGGACACTAGGAACAAAGCTTAAGATGTCATCGGCGTTCCACCCACAAACCGATGGGCAGACGCAACGAATAAACCGGACACTTGAGCCGATGCTTCGTTTATTCATTGGCCCAACTCAAGATGATTGGGACGAGTTGTTGCCTGTTGTTGAATTCGTAGTAAACAATTCAGTTCATGAAGGTACACGTGAGAAACCTTTCATTCTGAACTATGGTCGGCATCCCACAACACCTGCTACGCATGGGATCGGCGGATTGAAAATTCCAACCGCAAAAGACTTTGTTGGCAAGCAGCAAGAAGCGCTTAAGTCTGCTCGCCATTGGCTGCAACTGTCTCAGCAGCGACAAAAGTCTTACGCCGACATGAAACGCCGGGATATCTCATTTGAGGTCGGAGACAAAGTTTTGTTGAGCACGAAGAACATTCGTCTCAAAATCACTGAAGCACGAAAGTTGTTCCCTCGATGGATTGGGCCTTTCGAGGTGATCAAGCATGTTGGTGAGGTAGCTTACAAGCTTAAGCTGCCTGATACATTGCAGATCCACAACGTCTTCCATGTGTCTTTGTTGAACAAGTAAGTTGCAGAGGGCAAGTACTTGCCACCACCAACGATCGTCCTGGGGGAGGAACTGTTTTATGAAGTCGAACGAGTGCTGATGCATCGTGATCGACAGCGCAGCCGCAAGACAGTACGAGTGTTCCTCATCAAGTGGAAAGGCTACGGGCCTGAACACAACTCATGGGAGCCAGAAGAGCACTTAACTGAAACTGCAGTCCAGTCATATATGGCAGACCTGGCTCAACGAGCCGCCGCACAATCAGTCGATGGTTTTGACCCTGGTCATAATGTGACACGGCGTGCTCGCAGCGCTCGTCCTCAGAAGCACCCTAAGGCAACGGGGACGTTGCCACCTAGAGGGGGAGGAGTGTAACGCATGGACTACTCTACCTAACTACCGCATATTTCCTAAGTCAACATCGAGATAGTACTCGATGAGAAATGACGTGAAGGCAATCGGGAAGGTTGAGTTGGAGATGAACATTGGCTTGGGATTTCCAACCCTCAACCTTGAGGCTTGGAAACTTCCAACCCATCAAAGTGAAGATTGGAAATGTTGGATTTCCAACTAATCAAATTGTGCCAGTTGTTGTTACAATCCAACCAAACACAAAACAACCATACAACACAATTAAGTTGGGTTTTCCCAACCAAACAAAGATGCCACCTAGGCTCCAAGCCTATTAGCTCCCCAACCATAGAAGCCATGGTTGGGAAGAGCCCCAAGGGGTATGATGGAAGGGGTTGAAGCTTTGAAGCTCATTCCCACTTCCCAAATCCAACTTACCAATTTGGAAATGGGATCTCTTTAAGTCTACAAGTTCTACTAACAAACTCTCCTACACAACTAGACTTGTGATTCTTCAAGGACAAGCTCTACAAGAAAGCTATCTACCTACTTGCTAAAGCTTCATCAACATTCTTCAAGCTCTTTTTCTCATCTCAAGCTTCAAGGATATTATCAAGGCTAGATTATCCCTTGGTGGGATTAGTTAAACTTGGAAGCCCTGTATCTTGATTTTATATAAGTTGTCAAGGAGGATTTATATTTAATACACGGTTGCCGTTGTTATAAGGGCCGTGGTTGTTACATTGGTATCTAGAGCTAAGGTTATCCTAAGCCTAGTGGGGATTTTGCCCCTAGAGATTTTTTTTTATAGATCTTGGAGTTGTGGTTTCTCATTAAGAGAACACTCAAGATCTGGAAGCTTGAAGAGTTCAAGATCTACAAGATCTACAACTGCAACTTCAAGCTAAAAAGAGAGATTTATCTCTCTTGCCCACCTTTTGGTGGAAGACTCTACTGTTGAGTAGTGGAGTATAAACTTGGATCTGGTGGATTTGTTGAGGGTTATACAATTTCTCTTTATTGAGATTTGGATAGACCCTGCCCTTTCACTTAGGTGATTGAGAGTGTTGGCAACAAATCTGTTACCTTTGGTAACATTGGATTATTTTGTAGAAGAAATTTCTTTTATAAGAATTTCTTGCTTTACCGCTGAGGTGGTAAAAGGGCTTAAACATAATCAACCCAGATCTTACAACCTCTCTTAATCCTTATGGCTGCTAGCCAAGAGAAGGATATGGCACGGGAGGAAGGGCCCACTGCACCTAATGAGGTGGTGAATAATGCTGCTGAAGTTGACCTCAATCAAGATGAGGCAATGGCTGACCTTGAGTTGGATGATATTGAGGACCTGGACTTGGACCTTGGAGATGAGCATAACCATGGTGAAGCTGAGAACCATGGTGAAGCTGACAACCATGGGGAAGAGGATAACACCAGTGGAAAGGAGGCCACTGATGATGAAAATAACTTCACTGAGGGTGAAGGCACGACTTATCTTGACTGATAGTTGGGACCTAGAGGCTCTTAACACACCTTTAAACCACACTAGGTAGTCCCCACGGGGTCACCTCCAAGGGTCCTCGGGTGCCTGGCAAAACCAGCCCCTATCCAAGGGTCCGTGTTTGAAGAGGGATTTCCCTAAGTATGAACATTATCGTGTGTACTAGAGCGTTCCCAAACTATGTTGCGCAGCGTTGACGACGGATTGGCTCGTGTGCAGAATAGCTCTTCACGTCAATACGTTGATAGAGCATGTGAACTTGTTAGAGAGCTTCAGAAAATATTTCCACTAGAAAGGATTGATAACAAACAAGAACAAGCAAGCATTTTTATGTTTTGCCTAACACACAAGCAAAGGAAAGCATAAAGCAGTTGGAGGGCGAAGTCCTTGATTTTGTCACGCTGTACTTGAAAACGGTTGCACAACTTCTTGGGCTGTTGCCTATTTTCCTCTATTGCAGATAGATGTCATTTGAGGCAATTCCCATGCTGATACCTCACATGAACATTTGTGAATCCCATATGAGTCCCATATGGCTCCTATAAGCCTCACGTGAAGTTCATGCGAGTTTACAGTTGTAAAACGGATTTAACCGTTTGATGACGCGAGCAACCGAATTGTACCTGCGGGAAAAGCATTCTTCAATGCGGCGTGACTTTCTCGAGAATTTTCGAGTTGGCTACGTCAGAAAAGACAGACCTGAGATTCAGTTTCTCAACTGAAATCTCAAGTCAACCCCAAGCACCCCTCGGGATCCCTCGGCACCCTCCGAAACACACGCGCACCCCTCAGGTGCGCAATCATGCACGACCGACTGTTTGGTCGTGCTGTACAGCGCTCGGACGTGCGCTGTACTGCGCGTGGGCAGGGCGATCATTCACCCTGTCTTGTTGCGATTGTGGGCCGTGCCACGCTCGTAACAGTGCCAAGGCACATGCGCGAGCCGTGAGGGGCCACGCGCGATATTTGGACCCCACGCGCGGTCCAGATTCTCGCGTCCCCTTTTTCTTTGACCAAGGCGAAAGTCAATTCCACCCCAGTCAAACTATCGTGTGCAATAGCTGAGAACCTTGGTGAAGCTGAGAACCATGGTGAAGCTGACAACCATGGGGAAGAGGATAACACCGGTGGAAAGGAGGCCACTGGTGATGAAAATGACTTCACTGAGGGTGAAGGCACGACTTATCCTATCTCCGAGGAGATTGTCCAACTCCAGGCTAAAGTGGCAACTCAGAATATCACCATCCTGCAGCAGTAGACGTCCATTGATGGACTCAAGAAGCATACTCAAAACCTTGAGGCTGAGATGCGCATTGTCATGAAGGAGGCTACTGAGTTCCGCCGCAGCTTGGGCACTAAAAACCGTCAAATTGAGTGGCTTCAGAAGACTTGCAATAATCTGCAAGCATCAGTCACCAAGCTCCATGAGCAGGTAACCCAGCTTAGGAGGGAGGGTATCTACGAACCTCCTCCTGGGCGTAGGTCCACTCCTGCTGCTCAGCCGGCACCTGCTCCGTCCGCACCTACGCCGGTAGGCGCTGCGACGGCTACGCACCAGCCACCTCCAACCGAGACCTCGCCCTTTGGGTCTCGCTCGGCGCCTCTGCCTGAGTTTAACCATAGCAAGACGGAGGTGCAGCCTTGGCTTGACCTGGTGAACGACACCATGATCCTCGTGAATGTGCGTCCTGAGGCTCGCGTCACTGCAGCTACTCGTGCGTTGGACGAGGTGGCCTGCAGAGCAGTGTATGGCGCTAAGAAGCAGGCGCAGGGACCGTTTGAATGGCCGGAGTTCTGCACCGCGCTAAAAGAGGCATTCATGGTCAAGAAGTCCGACCTGGAACTGCGCGGACGCCTTGAGAGTATCAAGTGTCGTGACCGTTCGGTGCAAGAATGTGCGGTCGAGTTTGAGGCTGCAGCACGTTCGCTCCAGAAGCCCTTGTGTGAGGAGGAGATGATGCACGCCTTCATGAAAGGCCTCCCTGTCAAGCTGCAGCAGGCACACATGACCGGTGGCATGACCAACTGGACGACTTACAAGGAGATGAAGGAGCAGGTGATCAAAACTGACAACATCATTCGCACGTACATCCATGGTCTTGCAATGTCAGACCAGCAGCCCCGTGCTAAGGGCTCTGGTGGTCGTGGGAATCGACCCCAGAATGCCTATGGCGGAGGCGGTTCGAACAAGCGACCTTTCCAGCAGCGTGAGCACCAGCCTGGACCACAGGCCAAGAAGGCTAACGGGGGGGGAGGTCATGGCCCTAACAAGCCGGACTTCTCCAAGATGCGGTGTAACGGCTGTGGATTTATTGGACACATCCAAAGGCAGTGCCGTAACAAGAACCCAATCAAGTACTCTGGGACGCCTAAGCCAGGCGGCGCTGGACCTTCTGGAAAGAAGGATTTTCAGAAGCCCAACTAGGGTGTGGGTACCAGGTTGGAGGAGTAGATCGAGTGGATGAGGCATATGTGCTATGTGATGATGATATTTTGAAGCTAGAGAAGCTTGCTGATTGCAAAATCTCTTGTTTGTTTGCCTCTTCTTTTAATAAAACTCTGTTTTTTATACTCGGTCGTACCCACTTGAGAACATTTCCATGGAAGCAATGCAGGATAAGTTTTCAATTATTTTCTGTGGCTTGGACATTCTGCCTTCTGTCATTGAGATTGTGAGTCGTTGCACTCAAGAGCACCCCCTGACTTCGGTCGCGTTGGTGACTCGCACAGTGAAAGGCGAATTGTTCCATGCGCTTCGTGGATGGCTAGTCCTAGCAGCGTGGGACAAGGGACACCATGTCTGGTGGACCAACTCTCAGTCGCATGGACGCGCTCGTCACAACGTCAAGGTGTACTTCAAACCTTCGACGAGTATTGTGGCATGTCCTATTCGCCCAAAGCATCAACAAAATTTGTTGCTTGCGGGTAGCGTGAACGGGGAAAACGCAAAAATCCTTGTTGACACGGGTGCAACTGTTTCCCTCTTTGACAAAAAGTGGGCTACAGCACGCACGGTCCTCGTTGAAGGACCGTCTTGCCCCATTCGCCTGGATGATGATAGCATCATCCCAAGCAAAGGGCAGACACGGATTAACATGGACATTGAGGGTTATCACGAAGAGATCTGCGCGTATGTTTTACCCCTTCTCGCAGGCGTCGACCTTGTCCTTAGAACGGATTGGCTCCAAGCGAATGAAGGCAAGCTCGATTTCCAGGACAATACGGTCTCATTCTCAAAGAACGGTGACACTGTCCAGTGGCAAGTGCCTAAGGACTTGATCACGAACGACCAACCCATGTCGGAACGCCCTGACATGAGTTTTGCGCACGCGAATGGGTTCGGACACCATGTTCGACAAGCCGATACCTTCTTTGTGGTACAGAATGCTGAACACAAGGTGCCTGGGGTCGAGAATTTCCCTCCTAAGATGAAAGCACTGGCGGACGAGTTTGCGGAGGTTTTGAACCCATCTCAGATGGCCTTCCTCCGGACCGTGCTATCGGTCACACCATCCCAGTGGAGCCTGGAAAACTCCCACCGTTTAGACCTCTGTATCGCCTCAGTCCAGCTGAGTACGAGGAGGCTAAACAACAAATTGAGGAGTACCTTAGGAAGGGATGGATTGAACCAAGTGCATCACCTTACGGAGCGCCGATCTTGTTCGTGAACAAAAAGGGCGGAGGGTTATGCATGTGCGTAGACTACCGTGCTCTCAACAAGATAACGGTAAAGAGCGGGTATCCCCTACCGAGAATAGAGGACCTGTTCAACAAACTCCAGGGTGTCAGAATCGTAAGCACAGCGAGGAGCCATAGCTAGGGTTTACCTAGCTAGGCAAGAGAGAAATGAGCAAAGGAGGATGTTCACTAGCAAGCAGGAGGATACAAATAGGAAACCCTAAGGGGCCGTACTCACTGTCAACGGGAGAGTTGTATGGCCCCGTCCTCGCTTGGGCGGGGCCGACCTCGTGGTCGGATGTGTGGGGGTTGCAGCCGACCTGCAGCAGTGGGCACGGGGGCCATTGCAGGGGCGCCGAGATGGAGGGCGCCGAGCTGGAGGGCGCCTGGCTGGAGGGCGCCGAGCAAGAGGACGCCACCCTGGACGCCTGGACGGCGTCCTGGGAAGCTGGACGCCGACCTGGGCGTCGGTACGACTTCCCGGGCACCTGGTCGACGCCGTGGGCGCCTGCACGGCGTCTTGGAAGGCCAGACGCCGACCTAGGCGTCTGCACGGCGTCCTAGGAGCCTGGGACGCCGCCCTGGGCGTCTGCACGGCGTCCTGGGGGCCCGGACGCCGACCTGGGCGTCCTGGGAGGTCAGACGCCGAACTGGGGACGCCGGGCATGCGTGGCCGGCTACGGACTGTGCTGGTCGGCCAGGCGTGGTTGCCCGGTCGACCAGGATACCCGGACGACGTGTGCGCGTGTCGTCGGGGTGGAGTCTGCGAAGCCGACCTTGGGGGTGGTATCCCGAGGTCGACATGGCTGGTGGGCGCAGTCGCTGGCGTGGAGTCTGCCAGGCGTCTGCGCTGTGCTCGTGACTAGGTGTGGAGCGCGCACCTGCGAAGCAGGTGCACCGTTGTCCTGCGGGTGCAACGCTGTGCAGCCGACTTGCTGCAGCGTTGGCACACCATGGACCTGCAACGTTGGCGAACCGCTACTCTGCAACGCTGGAGCGGTGCGAGCGCTGCTGCGCTGGAGCACGGTCGACCATGCTGCGCTGGAGGTCGACCAGCAGCCTAGCTAGCTCTGATGTAGTCTGTGTTGCCAATGTTGTACCAATTATTGTTGTCATGTTTTCCTAGTGAAACTCTTGCCGATTCTCCCCGTGAACTAGCAAGTAGCGTGAACACAAGGAAACGACTAAGTGAATGAATGCAGAGATCACACGAGCACACGTGCCTAGCCCGTAGCCTAGCTCCCGTTGCTGCACTTATCTCCGCACTCACTACAGAGTACCCCACTGCAGGCTAGACAAGCATTATAGTCTGACACACCCACATAGTCAAATTGGGGTATAATCAGCACAGCAAGCAGTCTTAGAGTAGGTTCACAAGGACAAGCAAAGTTAAAGGCATTCACAAAGGACAAGTGAGGAGGAGGAGGAGGCGGGACTGTAAGAGGAGAGTAGATAGGAGGCGACGGCTGAAGCTGCAGACACACGGCCAACAGGAGCGGCTGGCACAGTGGCTACCGGGATAGCGCCCCGGACTACTGGAGTAACTGGTTCGGCGGCTACGAAGAGCGGCAGGAGCAACGAACCCACGGGCGACAGGCGCAGCAGGCTCTCTTGGCTACCAGGACAGCGCCCCGGACTACAGGTGCTGCGGACGACAAGACGGCAGCCTCCACTCAACCTCCCCCGACCGTCCCACACCCCTCTCACACACCCCCTACTGAAACCCTAGCTCCACTCCCATGGCACCCCCCTTAAACCCTAAACCCTCGGCTCCCACACACCCACCCCCCTCAGCGGCAGCTGCAGCAGTGGGAGACGGAGGAGGAGGAGGAGCTGCAGGTTACCCTAACGCAGGTAGGAGCTCGGGAAGCAGCAGGGGCGGGTCACAGAGGGAAAGGGAGGAGGCGGGGGGGTCTCCTGGGCGCCACGAAGGAGCAGGGCGCGGCCCCCCCGAGGGCGCCACGGCTGGTGACGGGAGGGGGGCCGCTCACGGGCCCCCGAGGGCGGCTCGACGGGCGACGAAAGGGGCCGCGCGCGGGCCCCCAAGGCGCCGCGTCGAGGCGATGGGAGGGGGCGGCGCGCGGGCCCCCAAGGCGCCGCGACGAGGCAACGGGAGGGGGCGATGCGCGGGCCTCCAAGGTGCCGTGACGAGGCGACGGGAGGGGGGGGACGCGCGGGCCCCCAAGGCGCCGCGACGAGGCGATGGTAGGGGCCGGCGCGCGGGCCCCCGAGGCGCCACGACGGGCGACGGGAGGGGGCCGCGCGCGGGCCCCCACGAGAGCGCCACGACGGTTGACGGGAGGGGGTGGCGCGCTGGCGTCTGGGGCGCCACGACGAGTGACGGGAGGGGGCAGCGGACGGGCCCCCTGAAGACGACGTGACGGGCGACAGGGGGCAGCGCACGCCCCCCCTGAAGGCGCCTCGACGGACGGTTAAACTGCCACGCGCCCCGAGCGCGCGGCGGGCAGAAAAAGCCGCCACGCGCTCACGTCGTGCACCACAGGGCATGCGACAAACAGAACGACAGCGGAAGCAGATGGTGGGCCCACAGGCCAGGAGCGTAAATGCTATGATACCATGTAAGAATAGTAGGCACAGTGAGGAGCCATAGCTAGGGTTTACCTAGCTAGGCACGAGAGAAATGAGCAGAGGATGTTCACTAGCAAGTAGGAGGATACAAATAGGAAACCCTAAGGGGCCATACTCACTACAAAGTACCCCACTGCAGGCTAGACAAGCATTATAATCTAACACAGGGTGCCCAGTGGTTCAGCGAATTGGACCTCGCGCAGGGGTATCACCGATTGCGCATCAGTAAAGAAGATGTACCCAAGACGGCTTTCCGATCGCCGTTTGGTCATTTTCAGTGGCGAGTGCTGAGCTTTGGCTTGACCAATGCTCCTGCATCTTTTCAGAGAGCTATGAATGATGTCTTTCGCGAGGCGATTGGACAGTTCGTTCTAGTCTATCTGGATGACATCTTGGTTTACTCCAGGATGAAGAGGAGCACACGCGACACCTTAAGTGGGTGTTAGGGAAACTTCGAGAGCATAAGTTCTATGCTCGTCTGTGGAAGTGTCATTTCTACAAACGCGAGATGGAATATCTTGGCCATCTCGTGGGAAATGATGGTCTCAAAGTAGACCCAAAGAAAGTTGTCGCAGTCCAGAACTGGCCAGTACCACAAGATGTGGGTCAAATCAGGTCGTTTTTGGGACTGGCGAACTATTTTCGTCGATTTATGCAGAATTATTCTACCATTGTTGCCCCATTGACCGCCCTCACTCGCAAGAGTAGTGCTTGGCAATGGACACAACAATGCCAGAAGGCATTCAACGAGGTCAAGCGAATGCTGACCAATGCTCCGGTACTGGTTTTACCAGATCCGACAAAGCCCTATGAGGTTGTTACTGACGCCTCATTGATTGGGATTGGGGTGGTCCTCTTGCACAAAGGGAGACCAGTGGCATTTGAGAGTCGAAAGCTCTCCCCGGCAGAGCGGTGCTATACGGCGTCGGAACAGGAACTGTTGGCGGTCGTTCATGCGCTGCGAACATGGCGATGTTATCCGGAGGGTGTGGACTTTGTGGTTACGACTAACCACTGTCCAAACACCTACTTCTCCACTCAAGCCACAATTACTCGACGTTAAGCCCGATGGGCGGAACTCCTTAGTGGGTTCACTTTTGATATTCGATATCGAGCAGGTTCGACGAACCTGGCTGACCCCCTCAGCAGACAGCCGATAGGGGCAGCAACACGGCTAGACGACACAGAGGATGCGGCAGTATTATCTGCTTGCTTCAGTATCCTAGCAACGGCTCGAGTAGGTGAGATTACCTTCAGTGGTTTTCTGAAACGCATCCGCACAGGGTATCAAATTGACTCCTGGTTTCAGAACCCACGAAACACGAAGGAACTCAAGTGGGAGCATGAGCTCTGGTGGCGTAAGAAGGAGATTGTTGTACCTCACGTAGGTAACCTGCGGAACAATATTCTGGAGGAAGTGCATGCCACTAAGTACGGAGGGCACCTAGGGGTCAAAAAGACCAGGTGGGCCTTGAGTGATGTGTACTGGTGGCCGGGATTGGGTACTGAGGTCCAGCAATTCGTGGCACGCTGCGACGCATGCGCACGAAATAAAACTGACACAAAGAAGCCTGGTGGTTTGCTTCAACCACTCGAGATCCCGACTGAACCTTGGGAGAGCGTATCCTTGGATTTTATCACGGATCTTCCCAAGACTCGCGATGGCCATACAACGATCCTAGTGTTTGTGGATCGTCTCACAAAGATGGTGCATTTCATGGCTACGACAACGGACGTATCCGCGGAAGATACGGCCAAACTGTTTGTGGCGCACCTTTTCCGCTTACATGGGTTACCTCGTATGTTGGTGTCCGACCGGGATCCGCGCTTCACAAGCCGGTTCTGGCAAGAAGTCACACGGACACTAGGAACGAAGCTTAAGATGTCATCGGCGTTCCACCCACAAACCGATGGGCAGACGCAACGAATAAACCGGACACTTGAGCAGATGCTTCGTTCATTCATTGGCCCAACTCAGGATGATTGGGACGAGTTGTTGCCTGTTGTTGAATTCGCAGTAAACAATTCAGTTCATGAAGGTACACGTGAGAAACCTTTCATTCTGAACTATGGTCGGCATCCCACAACACCTGCTACGCATGGGATCGGCGGATTGAAAATTCCAGCCGCAAAGGATTTTGTTGGCAAGCAGCAAGAAGTGCTTAAGTCTGCTCGCCATTGGCTGCAACTGTCTCAGCAGCGACAAAAGTCTTACGCTGACATGAAACGCTGGGAAGTCTCATTTGAGGTCGGAGACAAAGTTTTGTTGAGCACGAAGAACATTCGTCTCAAAATCCGTGGAGCACGAAAGTTGTTCCCTCGATGGATTGGGCCTTCCGAGGTGATCAAGCATGTTGGTGTGGTAGCTTACAAGCTTAAGCTGCCTGATACATTGCAGATTCACAACGTCTTCCATGTGTCTCTGTTGAACAAGTAAGTTGCAGAGGGCAAGTACTTGCCGCCACCAACGATCGTCCTGGGGGAGGAACTGTTTTATGAAGTCGAACGAGTGCTGATGCATCGTGATCGACAGCGCGGCCGCAAGATAGTACGAGAGTTCCTCATCAAGTGGAAAGGCTACGTGCCTGAACACAACTCATGGGAGCCAAAAGAGCACTTGACTGAAACTGCAGTTCAGTCATATATGGCAGACCTGGCTCAACGAGCCGCCGCGCAACCAGTCGATGGTGTTGACCCTGGTCGTAATGTGACACGGCGTGCTCGCAGCGCTCGTCCTCAGAAGCACCCTAAGGCTACTGGGACGTTGCCACCTAGGGGGGGAGGAGTGTAACGCATGGACTACTCTACCTAACTACCGCATATTTTCTAAGTCAACATCGAGATAGTACTCGATGAGAAATGACGTGAAGGCAATCAGGAAGATTGAGTTGGAGATGAACATTGGCTTGGGATTTCCAACCCTCAACCTTGAGGCTTGGAAACTTCCAACCCATCAAAGTGAAGATTGGAAATGTTGGATTTCCAACCAATCAAATTGTGCCAGTTGTTGTTACAATCCAACCAAACACAAAACAACCATACAACACAATTAAGTTGGGTTTTCCCAACCAAACAAAGATGCCACCTAGGCTCCAAGCCTATTAGCTCCCCAACCATGGAAGCCATGGTTGGGAAGAGCCCCAAGGGGTATGATGGAAGGGGTTGGAGCTTTGAAGCTCATTCCCACTTCCCAACTCCAACTTACCAATTTGGAAATGGGATTTCTTTAAGTCTACAAGTTCTCCTAACAAACTCTCCTACACAGCTAGACTTGTGATTCTTCAAGGATAAGCTCTACAAGAAAGCTATCTACCTACTTGCTAAAGCTTCATCAACATTCTTCAAGCTCTTTTTCTCATCTCAAGCTTCAAGGATATTATCAAGGCTAGATTATCCCTTGGTGGGATTAGTTAAACTTGGAAGCCTTGTATCTTGATTTTAAATAAGTTGTCAAGAAGGATTTATATTTAACACACGGTTGCCCATTGTTATAAGGGCCGTGGTTGTTACACAGCCCTTGTCACACCGTTGCGCAGCTCCCATTCCTCCCATCCGCGGGGCCAGCTCCCTTTTCTCCCCCTCATCACATCCATCTCTCCCCCTCCCCCTCTCTCAACTAAACTCTTCACGACCTCGTGTGATGTGACAAACGCATACACCTCTCCATGATGATAGCCCAGCGCGGATCCCACCATTCAAGGGGGAAGTTCCTTACCCCAATCCCTTTCCGCCCTCTGCCCCTATCGGGAGGGGGGCGAGGGCGCGGCCAAGGGGGAGTGGATGGAAATCACCTCGGTGCGAGTTGAGGGGAGGGGAGGGGGACGGGCAGTACCGTCCGTCTCACGGTACATAAGCCGCTCGCCTCTCCATTCCACACATCGCCTCTCCTTCCACTCCTCTCGTGACTCGCCACGACTGAGCCCTCAGAGGCTCATCGTCTCTCATCACCTCTGCCAGCACTGCTGCAGCTTAGGGCTTCTACTAGCCCGTCTCGCCCTTCTCGCCCTTCTCGCCCTTCTTGCCCCACCTGTTGTCTGTCATGGGTTCGCATTCGCACGGCGTGGCTGTGCAGAGCCTCGTGCTCGCTGCACTGGCTGCTCTCATGCTCTCAGGTGTGCCCTTCGTGCTCTTGAATCTGCTATCAGGTTCTCCCTCCTCCTCCCTTTCCCCACTTCCCCACTCTTTCCCTCATTCGCGTTTCCCCATTCACCTCCCCCAGTTCCCTTAAGCCTCCTTCCCATCTCATCCTATCCCCCCTCCGTTCTTCCACTTCCGTCCCCTTCCCCCACCCCTCTCCCCCATGCGCGCTCAGCCTGTGCGCCTAAGGCGGCCGCCATTCGCCATTCACACGGCCTGCTGACAGCTGCTTCAAGCAACGCCGCCGACCGTAAGTCACCCGCCTCACATCACCAAGCCAGAGTATCACACCCTTGCCCGTCTCCTTGCCCTCAAATCCACCCTGCCCGTCTCCTTGCCCTCGGCCTTACTCCCATCTTTTCTGGGAACATTTTACTTGTCTCGCGTATCGCTCCTATTCCATCTCTCTTCTCCGTCTCACATCGCTTTCGTCTCCTCGTTTTTCCATCTCTTCATCCCTTCATACCCTCCTGGATCCTCTCTGTCTCTCTTGCCACTTTCTTTTTTTCCCTCTGCCAGACTCGTGCGTGCAGGGGAACTGTGGCGCCAATGCGGTGTGCATGAAGGACAGGGGCAGCGACACCTGTGTCTGCAACGTTGGATTCTCCATGACCCCCACCGGCTGCGTTGGTGAGTGCTGCTTTGGTGGTGAGGCTACTCGCCACTACAGCCCTTCTTAGAGCTTCATGATTTCACGTGGGCAGTAATTTCCTTTGTCTGTTGTTCCTGATCTCTCCCCACTCGCCCAACTCCCTCCCCTCTATCACCCTTCCCAAGACAACTGCGCGCTCAAGGTGTGTGGCGTCAACGGCAAGTGCATCAAGGACAGTGCTGGAGTGGCGTCCTGAGTGTGCAACACTGGCTTCGTGCTGCAGGCTGACAAGACTATATGCACTGGTGCGTGTGTGCTGACGTGTGATTGCAAAGCGACAGTCATGTAGTTCCCCGAGGCTATCTCTCACCTAATGCATTTTTTTTGCCTCTTTTGCCGATTCGTCAAACACTTACTACCTTCTACACTCTCTCTGCTTCGTTCTCTAACTCTTTTAAGTAGGGCTTGCCTTCCCCACTCACTATCATGCCTTTCTACCCTTTACCTTGGCAGACACGTGTGTGCTCAAGAGGTGTGGGAGTAACACCAAGTGCGTGAAGAGCGCGGCAGGAGTGGCGTCCTGTGTGTGTGCTACTGGCTTCGTGCTGCAGCCTGATGGCATCACATGCACCGGTATGTGCCATGCCATACCACCATAGCATGCCATGTGTCTTTTGAGTCGGCTCAAATGCCCTCTGCCATGCCATGTATGCGATGCCTTCTCCTCTGCCATGTGCCATTCTTGGTGCTACGAATGTGCCGTGCCTGGTGCTACGAATGTGCCATGCCTGGTGCTACGAATGTGCCATGCCATGTGCTACGAATGTGCCATGCCATGTGCCACACCTTGTGCTATCATTGTCAGAGCGCGTCGATGCTTGTCATTTGGGCAGTCCTTTCCCATATCTACCCATTCTCAGTCACCCCTCGTTTGCTCAACCCCCCTCACCCGCCCAGCTCCCTCCCCTCTGTCTCCTCTTCCCCAGACACATGCGCACTCAAGGCATGTGGCGTCAACGGCAAGTGCATCAAGGACAGTGCTGGAGTGGCGTCCTGTGTGTGCAACACTGGCTTTTCTCTGCAGGCTGATGGCACCACATGCACCGGTAAGATGCCATGTGCCATGTGCCATGCCATGTGCCATGCCTTGTGAGATGCCATGTTCCATGCCGTCTTGTGCTTCAACGTGCTAAGTATTGCAAGTGCTACGCTGATGCGTCAGTATTGCAAGTGCCATGCTCATGCGCACCAGTACTTGATGACAGAGGCACACCAGTCCTGCAACTTTTGCTTATAAAGTGATTTATGCTGTGAATCTCATTCTCATCTGTTTTTCTTTTGTGCCTTACTCTTCTTGTAAATACATTCTTTGCACGCCTCCTTTCAGATAAATGCGTCATCAAGAACTGTGGTGCCGCCAATGCTACTTGTGTGAAGGACGCTGAAGGCGTTGCATCCTGTGTTTGCAGAACGGGCTTTCAGATGGTGAAAGGCCTTTGCATTGGTACGCATCATCTTTTCGATAAGCTGTGTAATCGGTTCCGTTTTGCTCCCACTAGCCCTCTATTCACAGTCTATCTCTCCCTCTCTCCCTCCTCCCTCCTTCCCTCCCTCCCCCTTTCCCTCCTTATATGATCTTAGTTTCCCCTCGAACGTCGCTGTTTCCCTCTCCCTCGAATTGCCTCTTTCCCCTCAACCCTCCCTCCCCATACTCCTTGTGTGCACGTCTCTACTCACACTCCTTGTATGCACGTCTCTACTCACACTCCTTGTATGCACGTCTCTACTCACACTCCTTGTATGCACTGCACGTCTCTTCTCACTCTCCTCTTCATTGCTCTTCCTGTTCACGTCCTTTCGTTGTTCGCCCATTTCCTCCACTCCTCACTCCCCTCCCCCATTGCTCCCCCCACCCAGACACTTGCAAGATTCAGAGCTGCAGTGTGAACGGCCGGTGCATCAAGGACGAAACTGGAGTGGCATCCTGTGTGTGTGACACTGGCTTTGTGCTGCAGCCGGATGGCAGGATGTGTACCGGTAAGAGCCGTGCCATGTGAGGCACACCAGTCTTGCACTGCATTTGCTTATGAAGTGAGTGCTGCTGTGAATTTTGTTCCTCTCCCTTAAACTTTTCTCTCTCACCCCACACGTTCCCCTTTCTCTCCACTTGCCCAGACACATGTGCGCTTAAGAAGTGTGGCATCAACGGCAAGTGCATCAAGGAAAGTGCTGGAGTGGCCTCTTGCGTGTGCGACGTTGGCTTTGTTCTACAGCTCGACGGTTCCACATGCACTGGTGCGTGCTGCTATATATTGTGTCGTGCTGCTACATGTCTTTCAAGGGTGCGTGCTATGCAGTGCAACACAACCTGTGCATGGTTGTGCAACCTGACTCTTTCAGATTAGCTGTGTAATCTCACATTGCATCTCCCACTCTCCTATCCTCCCCTCTCTCCTTTTCTTCCCTCTTGCATTTCCTCACTCCCTCCTCGCTGCCTTCTCTCCTCCCCCCTCCCATTCTCATCTGTTTTTCTTTCGTACCATACTCTTTTAATCTCTTCTCTCCACGCCTCCTTTCAGATACGTGCGTCATCAAGAATTGTGGTGCAAATGCTGCTTGTGTGAAGGACGCTCAAGGTGTTGCATCCTGTATTTGCAACACGGGTTTCCAGATGGTGAACGGCACTTGCACTGGTACGCACCGTCTTTCCAAAAAGCCCCATTTACGTTCTCGTTTCACTCTCACTAGCCCTCTATTCACAGTCTATCTCTCCCTCGCTCCTCCTCCCTCCTTCCCTCCCTGCTGCTCTCTCATCCAATTTTCCTCAGTTCTGCTTCCGTGCCTTACTCTTTTAATCACTTCTCTCCACGCCTCCTTTCAGATACGTGCGTCATCAAGAACTGTGGTGCTAATGCTGCTTGTGTGAAGGACGCTCAAGGCGTGGCATCCTGTGTTTGCAACACGGGCTTCCAGATGGTGCAAGGCACTTGCACTGGTACGCAGTATCATTCCATTCCAGATAGCCATTTAAAACGTTTCATATTTGCTCCCACTAGCCCTTTATTTGCAGCCTATTTCTCCCTCTCCCCCTATTCACTCCTCCCCTCCCTCCCCTCCCTCTCTCCTTCCCTTCCCCTTGCTGTCCTTTTTTTTCAACTCAGTTTCCCTTCAGACATCGTTGCCTACCCCTCCCTCACTTGGCCCCTTTCCCCGCAACCCTCCCCATACTCCTTGTGTGCACGTCTGTACTCACTCCTCTTCATTACTCTCTCCTTGTCACGTCCCTTCATCCTCACCCATTTCCTCCACTCCTCCCCTCTCCCATCCTTCCTCCACCCAGACACCTGCGAGATGAAGGACTGTGTGAGGGGCCGGTGCATCAAGGACGGTCTTGGAGCGGCGTCCTGTGTGTGCAGCATTGGCTACGTGCTGCAGGCGGATGGCGGGACGTGCAAAGGTATGTGCTGAAACTGCTGCGTGCTACTTATGGGATTATGTGCGCTACTCTATGTGCTGCTGTGGTTCCTCCTAATCTCATGTCCCTTTTACACCATCCTCACCCAATTCCTCCACTCCTCACTTCACTCCCTCCCCATTGCCCCCCCCACTCAGACACCTGCAAGATCCAGAACTGTGTGAGAGGCCGGTGCATCAAGGACGGGTTTGGAGTGGCATCCTCACTCCTCCCCTCCCCTCTCCCATCCCTCCACCATCCCTCCACCCAGACACTTGCGAGATCAAGGACTGTGTGAATGGTGGGTGCATCAAGGACGAATCTGGAACGGCGACCTGCGTGTGTCAAGATGGCTATGCGCTACTGCCAGATGGCATGACGTGCACTCGTACGTGTTGAACCTCCTGTGCGCTGCTCTCTGTGCTGTTGTGTGCTGCTCTCTTTCTGTTGTGCGCTACTCTGTGTCCCGCTGTGTTTCCTCGTAGATTCATGTTCCCTCGATCCCTCATCTCCCCTTTTTTCTGCCCTCTCCTCCCTCTCCCCCCCCTCCCCCTTCCCCCCCCCCCCCCCCCCCTCTCCCCCTCTTCCCCCCCCCCCCACGCAGATGTCTGTGTGATCCAGAACTATGGTCTCAATGGCCGATGTGTTCCTGCTGGTAATGGGGCTACCTGTGTGTGTGACCCTGGCTACATGCTGCAGGCGGATGACAAGACGTGCAAAGGTATGTGATGAAACTGCTGTGTGCTACTCTATGTGATTCTGTGCACTAATCTGCGTGCTGCTGTGATCCCTCCTGAATTCCTGTCGCCTCTCCCTTTTTTTTTGCCTCTCCCTTCCACCCCTCCTCTCCTCTCTTTTCTGCCTCTCCTCACCACCCCTCCTCTCCTCTCTTTTCTGCCTCTCCCCACCACCCCTCCTCCCCCCTCTTTTCTACCTCTCCCCACCACCCCTCCTCTCCCCTCTTTTCTGCCTCTCGCCACCACCCCTCCTCTCCCCTCTTTTTTGCCTCTCCCCACCACCCCTCCTCTCCCCTCTTTTCTGCCTCTCCCCACCACCCCTCCTCTCCCCTCTTTTCTGCCTCTCCCCACCACCCCGCCTCTCCCCTCTTTTCTGCTTCACCCCTCCACCCCGCCTCTCCCGTCGTTTCTGCCTCAACCACCACGCAGATGTGTGTGAGATCCAGAGCTGTGGTGCCAACAGCCAGTGTCGTGCTGGTGATAACAGCGCCGCCTGCCAGTGTGACCAGGGATACGAGCTGCAGCAGGATGGCAAGACATGCCTTCCCAGCCCCCCTCCACCTGCTGCAATCGGTGGGTGATGTGATGCTACCTTCACTACTCTCATGCGTTCCCAGCATCTCGCTCAATATGTCTTGTCGTCTTCAATCTTGAACTCCACTACCTCTCATATCACGTCCCCTCCACCCCTCTCCCCTCTTGTCTGCCTCCCCCCCCACGCAGATCCCTGTGACGCCATGAATTGTGCTCCTAACGGCGAATGTTATCGTTATGATGATGGCACGGCTACCTGTTATTGCTTCCTTGGTTACAAGATACAGGATGTGACGTGCGTCCCCAGCTCCTTTCAACCTGAAACCGGTGGGTGATGCTAGCTTGACGTGCTGAAGTGCTGTTGTGGTGCCAATGGCTTCACTACTCACTTGAGTTTCCAACATCTCGTGTCCCACTGCCCCTCATTTCACGTCCAGTCCACCCCTCTCCCCTCTGCGCCACCTCTACCCCCACCCAGTGACTTGCTCTATGACTTGTGTTGGTGAGAACCGGCACTGTGACGAATACCAGATATGTGTGTGTGACAATGAGTATGAGAATCAGAATGGGTGGTGCGTCTCCAGCCAAGCCAACCCATCTTATCACGTCCCCTCCGCCCCTCTCCCCTCTTGTCTGCCTCTCTGCCCACGCAGATCCCTGTGACACCCTGAACTGTGGTGATAACAGCCATTGTATTCGTGATGGTAGCGCGGCTACCTGCGTGTGTAACGACGGTTACGAGATGCAGAATGGGGCGTGCACCTACATCCCACCTACACCTGAATTCAGTGGGTGATGCTAGCTTGTCGTGCTGCTGTGCTGCCTCCAGTCCCGTGGTCTCACTGTTCTCATGGATTCCCAACATCTCGTTGAATATGTCTTGTCGTCTTCAATCCTGAATCCCACTACCGCTCATATCACGTCCCTTTCGCCCCTCTTGTCTGCATCTCCCCCCACGCAGATCCCTTTGACGCCCTGAATTGTGGTTCTTATGGCGAGTGTATTCAATCTGGTCTTACCACGGCTTTCTGTCAGTGTTACTCAGGTTATGAGATGCAGAATGGGGAGTGCGTGCTGCACAACAGCCAAGGTCCACCTGATGCCGGTGGGTGATGCTAGCTTGACTTGACGTGCTGCTGTGCTGCCTCAAGTGCCAATGGCTTCACTACTCTCATCTGTTCAAAACATCTCGTTCAAGGCATCTTGTCGCCTTCAATCTTGAATCGCACTACCCCTCATTTCGCGTCCTCTCCACCCCTCTCCCCTCTGGGCCGCCTCTACCTCCACCCAGCGCCATGCGATCTGAGCTGTGGTGCGAACAAGCACTGAAACAACACCAATGGAGTGGTGTCATGTGTTTGTGACATTGGTTTCGAAATGCAGGCGGATAATACGTGCAAGGGTAGGTGCTGCATGTTGTGCATCTGTATTCAATGGCTGCAGTGTGCTTCTGTGTCACAGCTTCTGCAACTGTTTTCTACTCCATGCAGCTGTGTGCTGTTGTGCTGCCTCTAGTGTGCGACGGTAGCTCTTGCAGTCATAGAGTTTTCTCATGCCTCTTTGTGCATTCCTGCTTCAAAGTCTCGTTTCTTGTTCAATCTCCCCCCCCCTGCCCCTCCTGCGTGAATATTTTTTGTTTTCTTCAATCATATCACTGTTGCGTCTGTTATTGTCCGATTCAGCCATTACACCTTATGTTTCTTTCTTCATCCACCCACCCCTGGTCCCACTGTGCGTGTCTTGCTCTGCTACGTTCTTCCACCCTAACTCCTTCCCAGATCGGTGCGATGGCTTTTCATGTGCGTTCGAAGGCTATGAGGGCGTTGTGCCCTCCCCCGCACACTGCGAGAAGTCGCCAGTCACAGGGGATCCATTCGGTGCTTGCGATAACTGGTTGCATGACTATGCTGTGGATTATTATGATTGTGTTGGTAAGTTCCACGCGTTTAATGTTTGCTTGTTGAGGAATCAATGCTAACTGATCTCATTTTCTACTACCATCTCTCATTCTCTAGACCCCAACCCATGGACCTCTTACCCGATTCGTTCCATCCCTGTCAACCTCTTACCTTCTAACAGTGACACTCCCCCCGACAGCCGTGTTGACTGCCATGTTGACTGCCGTGGGATTAGCACACACTGTTAGGAGATGATGATGTTGTAACTTGCAATTTTGTTATATGCCACCTCAAAAGCTTGTATGTGTCTCCGTTCTCCCTCTCTCCCTCTCCCTCTCCCTCGTTCCCTCTCCCTTCCTCTCTCACTCTCTCTCCCTCTCCCTCCCTCTCTCCCTCCCTCTCTCCCTCCCCCTCCCTCTCTCCCTCTCCATCTGCCTCTCTCCCTCTCTCCTACAGTGACAGTCCCTATGCCAAATTTTGGGTAACCAGAGCTTGCTCTCACCTTTTAAAAGGTTGGTTTTGGCTTCGATTCGCCTCTTCCGATTACCAGCGTAGTCAGTTCTCCCTTAACCCTCCTTTTCTCTCGTTTCTGCTTCTTTGATATTGTGTGATTTTGTTGTATCCGTTGTGTGAAACTTGTTGTTGTGATGAAGGTTACGAGATCTAGCATGACAGTGAATCCCGGTTCTTCTCACCCTATCCCCAAGGTGGTTTTCCACCCCTTCAGCTTGTCCCTTGGATCTTCATCCCCTTGTTCGTCTCTCCCCTCAACAGGCAAGGTGCCCTCAGAACAGCCGTGAGGCACATCCACTCCCGTGATGACCATCCTCATCATCTCCCATGGCGGCACATCCTATCGCTCCCGTCACGGTCATTGCTCCTGTGATGGCACATCCTCATCGCTCCCACTACGGCATCACTCCAGGGACAGCCCACCCTCATCACCTGGGCAGCGGGTTCTTCTTGCAGCTGTTTTTTCTTGCAAAATAGGGCACAGCAGGCCAAGAGGCTGAAGGCGCGAATTGCGTGCATCAGGACCGCCTCGTGCCTCTAGAAGGGAGGATGGAGAGGAAGGGTTCGACCCTTGTGGGGCAAGATCTCCATGCACCAGGGTACAAAGCATCAGCTGCTTTCACGGGGGCATATAGCTTCTTTCCATTTGTTTTGTGGTTGCTTTTGGCTGGTTATGGTGTGTGTTGGTTCGCCATGTAATCTGCTCTTTGTTTTTTGTGGGGTTCGTACAGCTGTAGTAATCTTAAATACCGTATGGCCCCGGATAGAAGCGCAGGCCTATTAAAAGCGCATGCGCTTCTATTTGGAGCAATGCGCTTATGGCCGATCCTCAAATATAAGCGCACCCCTGTAAAACCGTGACTTATTATAAGCGCATGTATAATATTAAAATTTGAACTTGCTTGAAATGGTAACGAATTTCAAATTTGCAGCGAGGTCACACCAATTTCGGTTCGCTTGACTCGCGAGGACCTTACATCCTGCGCGTCCAGTCAGTATGAGCTGGAATTCCAGCGCAATGACGTGTAAATGCCCCTGTGCGCCGGCAGAAAATCGCCCGCGTACGATTCAGAGTTGTGACCCCCTATCATTGCGCTTCGATTGAAATTGCAAGGAGGAGATTTAAAATTTGGTGCAGTAAGAATATAAAATTGTATTTGTCATTTTATAAGTGTTAGAGACTGAGGACGGAGTCTATGAAGATTAGTAGCCAAAATATCTCAACATCGTTGGGCCTAGTTTCTGAACAGAAAAGTCGAGTTCACAAGAAACGCCGTCGACAAAAAGTTCACCGTCAAAACTTCATCAAACTCGAATATGTTGTAGCTCTACTCCGTGGCTACAATTCCCAAGTTGAATCATGCGAAAAGGTGAAGTATTTCTTGAGCTATCAATTTCGGCGCACTAGGGGTTATGCTGCCATAGAATCTTAACTCAATCACAAAGTTCACACAAGTTCACACAAGAGAATTGGAGTAGCACTAAACCAGATGGAAGGGATGAGGAGGACGAGAGGGAAGGTCCCAAGAGAGTCCCCAACCAAGGAAACCCCATGCCATACAATTCCCTTCCCCATAGGCAACCCAACTTTGACCTTTGTCACTATCCCAACCTCCACAATCCACCTCAACCCAACTTGGCCACACTTGCCAGCCTAGTTTGGTTTCTCCCAACCATTTGGCAGCAACTACAGTAGAAAAGACGAATTTCCCAACCCTCAAAAGTCTGTACCCCATATTGAGTCAACCCCACAACTTCCCATAGTCACCACAACCAAATATAAAAAAAACATACGAACTCCAACGTTCGTAACTTTCTTGTTCGTGCTCCGATTCAAGCGATACTTGGTTCCTCGGAAAGCTCTTGAGCAGAGGAGTCACTTCAGATATCTTCTCAAGCATGCAACCTCAATGCCAAATAACATTCACACACACACCCACTCAGAAAAACCAAACCGCACAAAACACAAATTTCTGCACACACTCACAACACGCATGCAACGCACGAACATATGATGGGAGGCAGACAGACGTGAATGCGAATGGTAGCATCACTCAACAAACTCCCCCTCTGGCTGCCAACCATCATCCCACATGTCATAGCTCAAGCATGCAACCTCAATGCACACTCATCCCAGCAAGCTTCATGCCCTTCCAATGCTCAGATTCAGCCAGGCGCTTGGTGAGAATGTCAGCCGCCTGCTGATGGGTCTTCACAATCTCCAGCCGCACCTCCTTGTCCAGGAGCCTTCTCACCCAGTGCCACTTAGGCCTGATGTGTTTGGTCAGCCCATGAAGACAAGCATTCTTCGCTAGCTTCACCGCCGACTCATTGTCACAGAAAATCACAGTCAGCTCCCTCTGACCAACTCCAATCTCCTCCAACAAACGCCTCAGCCACACCACCTCCTTTGCCCCATGATGCAGGGCCATGTACTCTGTCTCACACGAGGACTGCCCCACTTCATTCTGCTTCTTACTGCGCCAGCTCACTGCACCACCTCCGAACAGGCACACATAGCCTCCAGTGCTGGTGCCATCCGCTTTCACCGAGTTGAAGCTAGCGTCAGTGTAGCAGGTCAGGAGCATCTCCCCCTTGCTCAAATCAGCTGCACCCCTCTGCAGCCTCTGCCTCACAGCACTGTACTCCAAACCCACTAATGCCGTTGCACTCACATAGCGGACCAACCTCTTGGCCGCTTCCAGCTGCTCATGACTGGGGCGTGAAACCACACTGGCAAGCCTGGATGTTGCAAAGGCAATGTCAGGCCGTGTGTGGTTAGCCGCATAGTTGTGTGCCCCAACCATGGAATGAAAAAGTTTCCTGTCACTCTCACCCACCACCTCCTCATCAGCACAGGGCTCCACAGTGAACCCCGAAGGCAGTGGGGTGGCTGGCTTTCCTCCATCTTGCAGCCCATACTTCTCAGCCAGCCCCTCACAATACTTTCTCTGGTGCAACCTCAACACTCCCTTGTCAAGGTCCCTCTCCACATGCATCCCTAAATAGTACTTCACATCTCCCATCTTGGAGCACTTGAGCTGCATCTCCAGCATCTCCTCCACATGCTCAATCATTGCAGACGAATCAGAGAAGAGCAGGATGTCGTCCACATACACCAGGAGCATGAGAAACTGCTCCTTCTCCTGCAGCAGGAACAAGCTGTGATCACACTCACTCTTCTTGAAACCCCCAGCCAGCAGAGTCTCCTCTAACTTGTGGTACCATGCACGAGGAGCCTGCTTCAGGCCATAGATGGCCTTCTTCAGCCTGCACACCCTGCCGCTCCCATCATCCAAACCCTCAGGCTGTAACATGTAGAGCTCCTCCAGAATGATCCCATTGAGGAAGGCGGTGGTGATGTCCATCTGCTTCACCCGCCATCCACGGTTTGCTGCCATTGCCAATGACACCCGAAGTGTTGTGCCTTTCCCCACAGGAGCATAGAGCTCGTTGAAGTCCTTTCCCTTTGTCTGCTGAAACCCCTTAGCGACAAGCCTTGACTTGTAGCGGGTCAGCGCCCCATCAGGTCCGTACTTGTGCCTGAAAATCAGCTTGGAAGAAATGGCCTTCTTCCCGGGTGGCAGCTCACACAGCTCCCACGTCTCATTCTCTAGCAGAGAATCATACTCCTCCTTCACACTCTACTTCCACTTTTCAGCATCGGGCCCGCTCAATGCCTCAGCTAGCGTCTTGGGCTCAGTGACGGCTGCCCAGTAGCAGTGTGCTATCTCATCCTCATCACACTGCTCAGCCAGACTCCCAGCCCTCACCACCTTTGGCTTGCCACGGCTTGCATAGGTCAGCCTGTTAGGAGGGCGCACATCCCTCCTAGGACGGTCAGCCGTACGTCCGGCACCTCGTGGAGCACCTTGCTCCTCCTGCTACTGCTGCTGCTGCTGCTGCTCCACCTCAGGTTCTCCCCCATCATCAGTCACCCCAGAGATCTCCTCCTTGGAGACAGAAACCTCCACCTGCCTCGAAGGCCGCTCCACCTCATCGGCCTCGACAATTAGCGGTGTCGTAGGAAGCTTCTGCTGCTGCTGCTGCTTCCACTCTTTGTAGTACAAGGACTCAAGGAACTTCACATCCCTTGACACAGTCAGCTGCTGGCTGGTCAAGTCCCAAATCAGCCAGCCCTTGTGATCCTTAGCAAGCCCCAAGTGCACACCCCATCTCCCAGAAGCTTCCAGTTTTCCCCTCTTCTCCTTAGGCACATGAAACACCACCATGCAGCCATAAGTTCTCAGCATGTTGACTGCAGGCGGACTCCCATACCACTTGGTGTAAGGGACCCATTGCTTGTCCCCCACAGTCGCCAGCACCCGGTTCTTCACAACAACGACCTGCCGCAGTGCTGTCACCCAAAACGGATCCGGCAGCCCTGCACGCACAAGGAGAGTGCGAGCACCTTCCTGCAGGGTCCGGTTGAACCGCTCAGCCACGCCATTCTGCTGAGGGTTGTAAGGCACTGTGAGCTGATGCTGGATCCCCTTCCACTTCAGCTCCTTCTCAAAATCAGCGCCGATGAACTCTCCTCCGTTGTCAGTGCGGATCACCTTCACCTTGTGTCCGCTCTCCCTTTGTGCTCTCGGCATCCACTCCTTAAGAACAGCCGCTGCCACCTCCCCCTTAGTCTTGAGAGGGTACACCCACACCGCACGTGTGTGGTCGTCCACAATTGTCAAGAAGTAGCGGCTGCCCGAGAGAGAAAGGGCCCTCGTGGGGCCCACCACATCCATGTGTACTAGTGCAAGTGGTGCCTTGGCTGGTCCTATGCTGCTGCTGAAGGGAAACTTCGTGAATTTGGTCTCAAGGCAGGTAGGGCAGCTCCCAATCTCCTTTGCTCCCCCCTTCACCTCCAGCCCCTTCAAGCACCCATCCTGAACCAACTTCTGCAGCATAGGAATGTTCACATGGCACAGCCTCTCATGCCACGTCTCCCAATCAGCCTCACCACTCCCAGATGAAG